AGAGAGAGAGAGAGAGAGAGAGAGAGAGAGAGAGAGAGAGAGAGAGAGAGAGAGAGAGAGAGAGAGAGGGAGAGAAAGGTTATTTTTTCTTCATAGTGGAAGCGATGAGGGAGGAATGGAGGGAGGACTACGTAGTTGGTTGCCTCCGCATAGTGGTGTTGCCATTGGTGCAAATTATAAGGATCTCCTGAGTTTTGCTTTGTTCTGTTTTCTGTTTTCCTTTGCTTTTTTTCAAAAGGTTCGAATCCGTTCGATTTTAACGACTTTGTTCTTGGCTTCTGGGAAGCTGGCTAGTATCACAGAAGTCTGCTTGTGCTGAGAATATGGTGCATCATTTACGAGGAGAAAAGGGTCAACAGGGCGAACGACTGTTTGCGACCTGTTTTTGTAGCCCATTGTTGGAGAGGAGATACTGGCTGTGGCTCAAGGGTCGAAACAAATGGGCAAAGAACTTCGCAACATGTACTGTTTTTTGCCCCCCCTTTTTCAGGGAAGCAATCGAAGGAACAGGAGAGGAGGAGGAGGAGGAGGAGGAGGAGGAGGAGGAGGAGGAAGAGAAAGTAGGAGCATGGTGTCGTTGGAAATTAGATGAGTCGTGTCATCTGCCGGCCGGCATCTCATTGCTATAGAGACCTGCAACTGACTTGTTGGGGAGGCCTCTGCCACGCGTTTCGTAATCAACGAATCTCTTCATGCAAAGTCCTGACTTTTGGGGTCAGGTTCTTCGCATTTTCTTGCCCTTTGGTCCACACTAAGTGTACGATCCTTGCATTGCTCAGTACTGTAAGCAAGGAGCCTGAGAGTTACTTCCGCCTTTTATTGGGGCCTCCACTTGAAGCGTATACCACTTCTCCTTGTCTACTTCCAGCATCGGGCAGGTGTGAGACTCAGGTTTCTTTGTTCACAAAAGCTTGGTTGATTCTTGGTTTCTTCCACTGTGCACGGCTTGGAACTACTCAGGGTCAGGTGACCTTTCTGTTGTTCGCAGGAGACATATAAATCTGTCGACGCCACCATGGAACAAGCGTTGGTCCGTGACGATATGTCGAGCTGTGCCTGTTTACTGAAATTGCAGCAATGTCTATTTTACTATAATTTAGTATTTGTGCTGTGGGGAAACTTGAAAGCATATCTTGACGCAAACGACTTCGGAGGCGACGGAAGGGCACGAGTGACACAAACTTTGTTCGTTCCAATTACGTAAGGGGCAATCTGTACACTCTTGCCGGAGGGGGGGAAAAAACAGCAGTTTGGCACCTCAAAGGCTTCACACTTTTCTCATCTTTCAAGACGCGGTTTGTCATTTTTGCAGCATTGCCCCCCCCTCTCCTCCCCCCCCCCCCCCCCCTCCCCCTTACCAACTGGCATAGCTCAGTCAGTACACCTTTGAACTGTCGAAATACAACTTTTCACCCTTGGCTCCACTGGAAGGAGATGAGTAAAAAATACTCCAGTAATTCTGAATTACCTAGGGCAAATACTACAGTAATTCTGTATTACCTCGGGCCGGTCAGTTTCAATAACCATATCTCAAGGCCGTCACCCTTAAAATGTTTGCAACTTTTCACCCATATCTTAGCAGATTTGTAGTCCGATGTTTGTTTTCCTCTTCTTTTTTCTTTTTTTCTATAGTAAGAAAACAGAACCTATTGGTTCTGGCTCCGTTCCTTTCTGGGGAGTTCAACTGATGTTTCGCTTTTCTTCCTGTGAAAAGGGCATGTGTTGTAGGCGCTGGGATGACCATAATACTACACTGACGGGATGGAGGATGAAGTAGAGTCATGTGCTGAGTCATAGGTTGAGTCCTCTAGGACTGCACCAGGATATCTGGAACAAAGGAGATAGGAATCTGGCGGTGATTTACCAGCACCTCTAGCACTGGAGAAAAAAAAAAAAAAAAAAAAAGGAATCTGGGGGTGAGGGACATAGAGACAGTAAGAGACAGGGAGACGGTCAAAACCAAGGTATGAGGGACAGCAGTGTTGACGGGTTAAGAAGGACAAGACAGATGGGATAAGATCAGGATCAAGGTTGGAGTTGAGGGCGGAGTGACGTGTGAGCCTGGAAATGGTAGGAGGGGTCTGATAGGCGGCCTGAGGAACTGCAGGGGAGGCCCCTCTCCGACGGCCATCCTGTGCTGCGTGTCCGGGTGCGCTGCTAGTAAGCCTCCGGGCCGGTGGGGTGGTCCCCGGAGAAAGGCGATGGTTTGGGGGCTGGGAACCCCCCCCCCACCACCACCAATGCAGCTCCCCCCTTGCTAGGTAACCAGTACCACAAGTGTTAGGCCGTTCCTCTTTTCTCGTCTGATTTCCCCCCCTTCTCTGGAGACACAAACATGCTTGCCGGTGCGATAAGCAACCGGACTGTTGCCCCCCTCCAGAGTAGAATGGGGCTATTTTTTTATTTTTATTTTTATTGAAAAGAAAGAAAAAGAAAAAAAAAAGGAAAGAAGGAAGAAGAAAAGGGCATGTGTTTGTTGCAAATGAAAAAGAATTAAAAGATTCAAAAGAAGAGACAAGAAGTTAAGAACAGAAAAAAAGGCAGTGTACAGTAAGGTTTTCAGGACAATCAATGATGACCAGTGTGCATGATAAGAGTGGGGTCGTTCCTGTCATCGGTTGAGCCGCTTGCTGCTGCAGGCGCCGTAATGACCTCCTGTATAGTGGTGCAGTGGGAAGTGTACATGACAGACAGCAGCAGGCGGTATCTTCGAGTCGAGTGTCTTTTTCAAGCGACAGGATTTGGCAATGCAGTGGCCACAGAGGAAATTCACAGCGCCTTTGTGGGCTGTGAAAGATGCTCTTTTTTTTTTTTTTTTTTTTTTTTTTACGAGTGTCATCCTTGCGCAAGGGCCATGCTAATCTTCTCTGAATCGTTCCAATTTTAACGGATGTCCCTGAGGACGAAGGGCGAAGGATCAATTGCAATCAATGTTGTTTGACATAACTGCTTTGAAGTCGCGTGACTCGCATCCATGGAAATTGAGAGATTCTGTTTCCAGGTCTACAGTGAAGAGTCGTGTGAGGCGCTGTCGGACTTGTTGCTGGGTACAGAATGTGCCATGGATGAAGAAGATGCGGAGTCGTTGCGGACTAATATTTCAGCAAGCGCCCATGAGAGCTGTGACAGGTGGAAGAAAAATATGGTGAGCGGTGCTGAACAGTGGATACTACCTTCTTCGTCTTCCCCTAAAGCATGATAGGATTTGCATTACGTTCACGATCATGGGGTGTTATGTTTGTTGGGGTGGGGGGGGAGAGGGGGAGGAGAATGAGGCGTGTTATGTTCTGGAGAGCCATTGGCTCATTGACTCCTTGTTAGTTAATGATATGATGCCCTGAAACTGCAGCGAGATGACGTACACTGTGCACAGACGGGTTGTGCAGCAGAAGTGAAGTTCGGAGGAAGGTGGAATGGGGGGAAGGGAGGGAAGAAATGGCGTGTTGTTGTTGTTGTTAAGGGAGGGCATCCCGGCAAAATCATCGTTCACCAAGCGTCACAGACTGTTACCTCTGATTTTGCCGGGATGCCCTCCCTTAACAACAACACGCCTATTGTGGGCACACTACGCTAGCGTGCCCCTGATACTGCGTAGCTGAAGTGCGTCCACTGGGCTCAGACTTGAGAGAACCCTGCGATAACCCTAAAGGGCCTAAACCCACCCTCAGGAAGGTGCTGATGGTTACGACGCTCACAATCGAACACAAAGTGTGCCCCTGAAACTGCGTAGCGGAATTGAGTCCACTGAGCTCAGACTTGAGAGAAGTGACTAAGGATCGGCCTGCCCACGACGGACCGGACTCTTCAGATTGACCCAGCCTAAACCCCTCTTCATGCAGATAATGGGCCGAATGTGGTCCCGAGGACTCCTGATGCTTTGAAGTAATGAATGGACCGGGTTGAGGGACCGAGCTTCGAAGCTTAACCCCGCATATTGTGGATCTATAAAACTCTATAATAGTCTATATCGCATTTCATGCGAATATCATGCGGGCAAGCTTGGACGTAATGAATTGGTACACGTTGAAGGACCAAGGTTCCAAGCTCAGTCCCAGTTAAAGTTTACTTGGTGTGCTACTGTAGCTCGGTTACCCTGCTTCTGTTGTCTTTGCCTCTTTGCTTGTTGAGTCATTCATCGACTCGCAATGCTACCATCTTCACCCGAAGGATAGTTAGTATCTGTTCCTATCAGTTCAATATCTGATATCTTAAAAAAAAAAAAAAAAAAGTCCYGGTCATTGTTGCCGCACTTTATTCTGGCCGAGTCTATTCCGCCCGTCTCTCCCCCCAAATTTGTCTAAGTATCGTCGCTGGTTAGTGTGCCCTCGCTCGGAGGATGTACCCCCCTTGTGGTTGTGTACGCCATCATATCTCTTCTCCAAGCTTCCCCCGAATACATCGTGCAGTCATTATAGCTGTATGTATTTGGGGTATCTTTCAGTCTAAATACAGTTATAAGGACCGTATGTTGTATTCGGGGGAAGAAGGTAACTCTGCCACTCAGTAGATGTGAAAGTAGATGTGAACAAGACCAAAGTTGGTCTGTGTATCTTCCCACCTACTTGGGCTAGCAGGCTGCCTGGCGAGGCATTGCGATGTGGCTGTAGGTGATGTGGACGTACTGGCAAGGGGCCTTTTTTTTTTTTTTTTTTTTTTGAAAGGGCGATGGTATTAAGATATTATCATCGGCCTGACCGGCTTGAGGTAATCCAGCAGTAATTGATTTCATTCCTCTAATCTAGTTCGATATAGAATCCAACTCGGATCTGCATTTTAACAGTTCATGGGTGTATACCAACTGAGCTAGGCCCGTCGGTAGCCAACTTTATTATTATTTTTATTTTTATTTTCAGTTTTCCGATAGTTTCTTTGTCTGTTCTGTGTTTGTTGATAACGTGCAGAATGCGGCCTTAACCCCCCAGTACATGGCCCCAGCCAAGTTGAGAGTCCGATTGAGCCTCTCCTAAAATTTCGGAGTCTCGCGCCCCTTTGATCTAATAAATTGACGGCCGGTGGCCTCCGAAAGGCAGGACCCGCGGCAGATGGCTGGCATGTACTTGTGGTTTAAACTTTGAGATGGTCAACATGCGATTGTGATGCAGTAAGGGCTGTGGGGGGGGGTTGACCCTGTAGTGGGGAGGGTTGGGGGGGTTGATCCTGTAGGGGGGTGGTTGTGTTCAGATTCTTCAGAATTTGGGCGGTAAGTTGAGTTTGCAATTTAGCCTCATTGCGGGCCCAGAATAGCGTTTCGCAGTCTTCCCTCTATCGGGGGACACATTAAAAGTGGGGGTCCCTGTGAACCGCTTGTGAGACACATTTAATGTGTGGGTAGACAACCGAAAGTATGATGCCGCAACGATGGAGCGATGGCGTGATGACACAACGATGGAACGATGGCGCAATGACGCAAGCATGGAGCGATGGCGTGATGACGTGATGAGGCAACGATGGAGCGAAGGCACAATGACCTAACGATGGGAGCGATGGAGCAATGGCGTGACAACACAACGATGGAGCGATGGAGCAATGGCGCAGTGACACAACCATGGAGTGATGGCGTGATGATGCAACGATGGAGCGATGGCACAATAACGCAATGATGGAGTAATGAGGTGACAGGACAAGGATGGAGCTATGGTGCAACAGCCCAGCAGATGGATAAAGACAACGACACAATGAAGGATTCAGGGGGCAGACAGACAAACCTGGTCTCATGCAGTGCGAGTTCTGGCAGGGGCATTCGAATTCGGACGACCTCATAGACCCTAAGGAACGACAAAGGAGGGCGGGTCTGGTCAGGATTTTTTTCTTGGCCCCTGAGCTCTAAACCCCCTCAGCACAGAGATGCGCATGTCCTGGATGTATATGACCGCTTTTCTGACCGGGCCTGGATGCACCTGACCTTCCAGGATGGCCCAGGACATGTGGCGCCAGGATGGCCACCTGGCCGACATCCCGCCGCAGCCAGGCTGCTCCGCTGGTACCACAGCATTTTACGGACTTGGTGAGTGCTAGTGCAGCAGCGAGGGCCGTAACCTACTTCTTCCTCTGGGACTTGAACACACAGGGTCATCACATCCTGGGAAGTGATTGTGGGCACATCCTTGGAAGTGATTGTGGGCATAATACTCACGCTAAGACTTTTCCCATTTCTCCTTGGACGTAATTGAGGTCAGATGCATCCAGGCCGGGTCAGAAAAGCAGTCGTATACATCCAGGGAAGTCCTAGCGTGAGTATGCTGTGCGGTGAATTCTCTCTGAATGCGGATACTGCCCCTGGGTTCAGTTTGTATCTTTATGAGGGGCTGGCTGAAAAAAAGTGCCGGAACTTGAGGGGAGTGAAAAAGTTAGGAAAATGTAATCATGTATTTAAAAAAATAATAATACAAAATTGATGTAATCAAAATAATCAATTTGGGGTTGCACAAAAAAAAAAAAAAAAAAAAAAGAAGGCAGG